GTTGAAGTCCAATGCCATCTGGAGGGAACATGTTGAAGAAGCCTGACTGAGACTGACAAGAGGGCTTAATTTGAGTCAAGGATCAGCTTTACCTCTTATTGTTGAACCTTAAGGTATTTTACATATTATGCATTGCCAGGGTAGAAGACTGCTGTCAGTGCCAGACAGCAGAAAACGCACATTAAACTTGGCCTTAAGAGAACTCAGTATTGCTGGAGTGGGCACCACAAGTATGATTTAGCCTGAGATTCCCACTCTATAAAGGTAGAAGAACCAAGAGCCCATTAGCGCAGCCCTGCCCTCACTATAGCTGCCCAGCAAATCGTATTCAGCGGTATGTTGCCTTGGAACCTGGAAATATCATCATGGCTAGTAGCCATGGATACAAACCTGCACTCCATGAATTTGCTTAACCCACTTTCATTCCATCTTAAGCCAGTAGGGATTATTACATACTGTGACAGCAAATTCTATGCATTATGTATGATGGAGTTCTCCATCAGCATGATTTATGCTGCCAAGCTATTGTAGTAGTAAGAATCATTTGCAAGAGAACAGCCTACAGTTAGCTTCTTAATGGGTTTTCCTGCTACTTTTCCTGCATTATGCTTAACTACTTTTAGGATTTGAACTCTTCTATTCCTTCGCAGGCCTCAGCTAGTTTGGACTGCCTCCCATCTGGCTTCTGTTAGGCGGAATCTTCCTTACCTCCCACAGCATTGCTTGCATTTGTGAAATTTAAAAGCATCATGAAACCTAACATATAATGCAACCCTAAAGATGCTAGATGTTATGGACAGAAAAGCTTTAGCCAGGTGAGTTCCAAAATGCTCATCGCTGCATTTGACTCCCAGCTCTAGAAGAAAACTTTGTGAATGGGCCTGTCCCCTTGTGTAACAGACCTAAATATAACGCCTCCCTACTCTCACAAAGCTTTACCTCTCCACTAGTAGGTCTCATATAACCTTTGATACCTGAAAACTGGTGATAGATAAAACATGGATCCTCGGTTCCAAAGCATGTGCTACCTTTGAAACCTTACCCATTTATCAACCAAAGAATTATATGGGGACCAAAACGAAATATACTTTAAGAGGAGATATCTCGGGTCAGTTTGGGGGGAGGTGGAGTGATAGACCAGTGCTTCTTAAACATGCGGTTTTTGAAACAAGGGGCTTTTCACACTCTGGCTTTTCATCAGTGTCCACAGTATTTAGTGTTCTGATTGAAGTTCCACACACCATTACTTTTAAGTGGTACTGTCAGTGCTTTCAGAACACTTGATTATATAAGTTTCAGCCTTCATCTTTTAATCTCACTCGGTTTGGTATTGTTTGACTGACTGGTGCTAAGCTCCTGGGGGCAGGGATGAGTCTCATCCAGCTTGCGAGTAATGTGGCTGGATATGGTGCAATGATGTGGGAGTTGGGGCGTTCCCTGGATAGTTTGGAGTATCCTAGGAATGACTGTGCTACACACACTTTTCCAGCAAGCCTTCCTCAGGGCAAGTCAGGCACGAAAAACTACTCTGTACAATGCTCTGCCTACGCAGCATAGAAGAGGGTGGCAGCAGCGAAGCAGCATGGGAAAAGGGATTTAACAGCTGTTGCATGTGGATTTTTTTCACAGCCAGATTAAAGCTGAACCACCATGTTGTCATAAGAGGGAACCTTCTCACCTGGCTGCCACTGAAGGCATGGTGACCATTGAATATGTTTGTTTAGACCAGGAATGGGGAACGTGTGGCTCTCCACCAATGTTGCTGTTCTACAACTCTACATCTCCTCCAACCATAGGGCCATGCTGGTGGCGGGACCTAGAGTTCAGCAACATCTGTAGGGCCACAGGTTCTACACTTATGGGGTAGTCCATCTGGCCAATCTTCTCTTTGCATTCTAGAAAGGATCTAGGTCCTTTTTCAAGCATTCAGAGGGAGTAGGTCTGGTAGTTTGTCTCTGTACTCTGGTTGTAGCTGCTCTTTTAAAAGAGCTAAAAAAGTTAGCTGTCCCAAGGGTGATTTGCCATGCGGGATATTACTATTAAGAGACACTCCTCATCAGACAGGACCTGCTCAAGGCCGGCCTACACCTTCACAACATCCTATTTGTATGGTGACTGCATTTTCTCAAAACACTAGAGTGTTGATGGACATGTTCTTAAGGACAGACATTTATGCGCATTGAGTAGTCTTAGCCTAATCAGGGCTCCCAGAGAAATCTACATGGCTGTGAGGACTGCTCACATAGTCTGCTGCAGGAAACAACTACCAAATACCAATGTACTTATGACAAATGCCTTCCAACAAGGGATAAAGTTGCCTTTATTCATAGACAATCCCACTGGGACCAAGTGATCCCTCACAAAAACAGTTGTCTGGTAATCACTGTTCAATCAGGCTACAGCAGAGGGGGAGAGTGAAAGCAAAGCCACCATCAGCTGTGCTGAAAATCCAGCAACCTTTGCCTCCTCTCCTAGGACAGTTTTCATTCTAGATTAGTTGGTTTTTAACAAGTGCCAGAGTTTGGTTTTTTCCTGCTTTCCTGATATTTTTCCTTTTGTGCTGTGTCTTTTAGATAGCAAACATAAGCACAGGGCTGCTTTATTATTGGTCTTTGTAAGGTGCCCTGGGAGCCTTTTCAGCTGGAGTAAAAGGTTGGAAATAAATTGCATGGGTGGGATTTCATTGGGTAAGGGCCTGCAATATGAACCAATATGAACTCTCTCTACTGCCCTCTCACCCAAGCAAGTCCTGCCTTCAAGTGAAGGCAAGTGACGGGCACTTCACATGAAGGTACCTTTCAATTTTGAAATCAGGATTAGCAAGAACAGACATGCTAGCAAGCAGATATGTTCCCCATATTAAAATACCTATCTGCCTTAAAAGTCATGTGTGTGCAACCTGCTCTGCTGCAATAAAGCAATCCCTCTCTTTCAACTGCCAAAAAGGAGGAAGTTGTGGTCTGCTGCAAAACAGCAAAGGGGCTGTGAAAAACAACAGAAATAGGACAAATGCAGCTTCACAATGAGAACTGAAATAAGGTTGTTCTGAGGAAAGTTACAGATCATCTACACATGCAATAGCACAATACGTAGATATTTGTGGGTTTTCATACATCAAGCCAATTGGTACCGATTGTTCCTTTCATAGGATATTAAAAGCCTCAGCTTGGTATACTAGCTCAATCTAGGGCACTGCACACTATGGAGCGTAATCACCCCTTTCATACATCCATCAGATCTTTAAAGAGAAAACCAAGGGAATTCTATAGTCTCAGAACCTTCTGCTAAGGTATAAACCATCTAAGCAAGCAAAGCACAAGTTTACAGAGATAGAAGTATCCGAGTTATCCAGCACTCTTGGCCAGAGACACATTTTGAGCAATATACATACGTTCTACAAAGCCTTCTCCACTCAAATGGTCAAATTAGTTGTTTCTCCGAGGAAGGAAAACTTACAGCACTCTGGGAGTTGGGGACTAGGCTGCCCTTAGGTCCTCTTCCAACTCTCCTTTCTTTTTCCATTACCTTTTTTTTATTTATACATCAGCATAAGTTTGGTGCCACTCTCTCCCCCTTTTGTGTTCGGATATACAAACTATGCCCTGCTTGTCTCCCCACTAAACAGAAAATGTTGTCCTTACCTTGGTAGGCAGCCAAATAGAGTGTTATCAGCAGCACCCACCCTTTCCATAAGCCCTCCATGTTCTTCAGTGTTACTGGATCCTTCTGGTGAAGAGAGACAATGCCTCCTGTCTGCAATGAGCAATCTTGGGAAAGGCAGCAGGATGGAGAGAAATTAACACCCACACGCTTGAAGTTTCACAAGTACCATTTGCCACACCCAGCCTCAGGTTAATGCAATTAATGCACATGATCTGCAAGAGCCAGAGCACTCCCAGGTGAGAGGCTCCTCCAGTTTCTGTGTAATAGCTTAATCTCTGCCAGCTGACAAGATGTGGCTTCCTCTGTAGGTAAAAGTTGCAAGGCGAGGAGGCTGTGTGCTTTTATGAATCTATGTCCCAAGCACCTAAGCTGTGCAATGTTGTGAGTCTCTTTAAAATCAAAATACATTCCTACAAGAGAGTCTAAGGATAGAGAAGTCTTTTTTTCTTCTTCCCAGAATCACCTTAATATACCTATTACCATGGTAATGTAAATTAGGGGTGGTGAGAGGTCATTTAAACTTGCCAGATTCAAATCGGGTGGCCTGGAAGGCAAGAGTCCAACCCAGCTATGACCTTTTTCCAACTTCCAAACTGCGTTTTCCCAAGCACTCAAAATCCAAATCAAAGCACTAAGGAAAGGAAACCCTGCCTCATTTCTTCTTCTCCCCACTCCTTCATTACATCAGTTTACATGGAGAGGGGGAAGTTGGAAAAAGAGGCCTAACCCCCATGGAAGACAAGGCTCTGGTCTTAACCCACCCCATTGGGCCCCAACTATATTCTTCGTCTTCATAAGATCCAATGGCTCCATATGTCCCTATAGACTGATATGGGAAAAGGGGGTAGCAGCCAGATGGGCTTGCTTTTTGCTCCTTAACTCATTTTGGCTCCATAGCAAACACTCCCCACCCCACCCCCCAAGCCACAATATAGGCAAAAATGGATCAAAGTTCCTTTGGAAGCAGGAGGAAAGGCTTCTATATTGCATTACACAGTCTACCAGCTTGCTCCCAATTGAGAGCTGGGAGGGTACATTATTCTCTGTACGGGATACAAGACAGGATATATTGGTGAGGTGACTTTGTATTTTTCTCTTTCTTTTTTCTCTTTTTTTAATTACAATTTTATGTTTAGAATAGTTTCTTTTATCAATGAATTGTGAAATCTTTTTTTAAAAATTATACATTTATTTATTTAGGCAACCCTAGAAATTTCCGAAGTTTACTACAGTACACTTAGGAGCACACTACTAAGTTACCTTCAATCAGGACCTCATTCAAGGCCTCACCAACTTCAAAGTTCCATTTCTTTAAAAAGACACACAGCTCACTTATTTTAAGACTTTTATTTTGAATTACAGAAGCTTTAATGGAAAAAGTGGTTTATTAAAGCATTTTCTTGTTTTCTCCCAGTTTATACCTAGAAGGTAGAAAGGTTTATGCCACTAGAACGAAAACATGTAGTATGTTAGAACACACAAAAAGATGAAAGATCCCAGTTCTGAGAGACTTCTTGTCCATTACAGAATCACCTTCTATGAGATCCACACATTTTAGAAATTCAAGCCAAAAAATAATAATAATTGTGTCTACTTCCAACTGCATTATGCAGCCCTGCATTAAAATCTGACAACCTCCAAGGAAGAAAGGTCATTACTAAGAGGCAGCAAATATTCACCCTATATCAGTGCATGAGATCATTAAGCAAATGCCAGCATCAACATCTGCAGTAAGATTAAAACAAAACACAACAGCTGTTTTGAATTGTATATTCATTTTCAAGTAGCAAGAACTTGGAGCCAAAGAGCAGACATAAACATCTGTTGGATAAAAATCAAGACAATGCCCTCAATACATCTAGGATGTATAAAATAAAGCTGCATGAAAACAATCAACAGCTTACTTTGAACAATTAGTTTGCTGCCATTAAAATTAGTTTGCTCTCCATTCCAAACCAATTGTTTTACTAAACAGTTTCAAAGATCTTGTGTGCCTAAATTTAACATGCTAAAACTAAAAAACCCTGAAGAGATTTGACTTTTAAAATTTCCATTTACCATCCTCTACCTTGAATAAATTGTTTAGAAAACTATGCATTCAAGAGTTATGGGGCACTATGTGTAATGGATAGTTCTCACCCCTCCACCAAGTACTGTTCTTCAGCTTTCAAGCTGACCAGCTTGGATGAAACTTGGAAAAATATATTGGAAGCTACAAACAAACTAGAAAATGGCACCATCCACAATCTAGGCCTTGGATTACCATCACTGGCTTCATGAGCCATCTCTGTCCACACATACTAGGTGTCCTCAACCAAATGTCATTATGCATACTATTATCACATGACATTTTGTGGCTAAATATTCTGAACTTAGCGCTATCACTATCTAGGAGAATGTCTAGTCATGCAAATAGCGGCAGTGTGCAAGATAGCAGCAGCACTGCAGAATGATAGATGGAAACACTAAAAAAATGTTTCCAAAACCCAAATGAAAAAATACGACTTTGTCCAAACCACACTATCAATACCACTTTGCCAAGGTTCCTCTGAATTTTACATTCAGACACTCTTCCTACAAAAAACAGAGTGGCAAGTCTGTCCTCATCTAGGGAGCTAGTTTCATGCATTGCAATTGTCAGTCAAAGCACACTAGGTACACAGCTTGATTTTCCAGTCTTGTGGCAACTTTTTAGTTTTATATTCCCCCCCCACCCCACCCCAAAGCAGCCAAAGTAGTTTTATTTAAAAATGTGTTGCACCTATCCTGAACACCTGGTGAGTAAAGCTGGGATACACATAGTAGCAACTGGTATTGCCTGCTCCATAGGCTCTGAATTCAACACTCCGTATTAACTACATGGGCTATCAGCCATCTACTTAATGAGAACACAACTCTGGCAACACACTAATGAATTCCATGATGGTCTCAAGACTTAAGAGCCATAGCTGCACAAAAGCCATGGGCATATTCACATTCCATCTTTGGACTATTTCTGTGGAAGGAAATGTATTCCTGTGTGGGTTATGCAGCTGTGCCCCAGCCCAAAGAATTTAAGGAATTCCTCAACCAATCAACTGTAAAGCAAGTGGATATAGTTTCAACAGGTGTTTTAATGAACAGCATTAAAGACACATATTCTAGCAAGCCAGTCACCAAAAAGAGCGCCTTTAAAAATTAGTCGCTATGTTTAATATCCAGATATAGCAGTGGTGTCCTTTGTTTACTTACATACTGTAAGCACTCCTTCTCAAAGGCACTCAGGCCAATTGATCAACATTGATGATTTACTGTTTATTCTTACAGATCATAAACAACTAAAACTCCAATTAAGTCAACGTTGTGGATCCTTCCAGGGTAGTAGCACGGCTACCAGAAAATTCATAAAAAGGAACTTCAATGGAGGTGGGGGTCAAGTGGAGAGGAGGAGAGATCAGGATACCAAGGTTTCATTCTTGCCAGCCTAATGCTCGCCTCATTTTCTTCAAGAATGAAAGTTTTGGCCAAAGCCACAGTGCGCCTCTTCTAGTTCCACACGTGACGTTTGCAGTGTTCAACAGCCTAGGAGAGAAAGAGAGAGAGGTTCAAGGCAAGGTCAGAGTGAACTCAATTCCCACAATATTAACAACATGGCTAAAAAAATCCATTAGGTCATTATTCTAGCATAGCTGATGCCAGAAATACAGTGGTACCTCGCAAGACGAATGCCTCGCAAGACAAAAAACTCGCTAGACGAAAGGGTTTTTTGTTTTTTGAGCTGCTTCGCAAGACGATTTTCCCTATGGGCTTGCTTCGCAAGATGGAAACGTCTTGCAAGTTTGTTTCCTTTTTCTTAACACCGTTAATACAGTTGCGACTTGACTTTGAGGAGCAACTTTTTGGGTAGCCTTTTTTGAGGTTTTTAAAGACTTTGGTGATTTTTGAAGCTTTTCCAAAACTTTCCCAACACCGTGCTTCGCTAGACGAAAAAAATCGCAAGATGACAAAACTCGCGGAACGAATTAATTTCGTCTTGCGAGGCACCACTGTATTGGGAAACCCACAGGAATATAAAAGTATGCCAAAATCTCATTTACTCACATTGCACTGGGCTGCAGTTTCCATGTTCTTACACCAATAACCAGGTCCCCGGACACATACGTCTGATCCCAAAATGGAATGTGATGATGTCACACAAACTCCAAGTTTCTGCAAGATGGACAATTAATTGCAGTTCCAATTTCCATTTTGATAAAAACATAGATTAGTCCTTCCCAGTAGTTCTTACAAGCCACATATAACTTCCCAAGATAAAAGTGTCAAGTTTCACTAGGACCGAGCAGACCCATTAAAATCAAAGGACTTTCAAAGATTGTTCTCAGACAATGTCCTAGCTGGGTATCATCCCATGGATTAATGTATCAATCAGCTTTACATATGAACAGCCATACTAGCTGTGGTACTTACACTACACACAAAAGTGGGATCCATCATTTCTGCCAATAGCTGCACAACCATTGGCTCATACTGCTCCACAAACTGAACACACTGTTGATAAACAAAGGAAAAGTAAAGATTACGTGACCCGAGCCCCTGCTAATTAATCAAGGGTATGATTTTTAAAAACAGTAAGGAACTAAAGCCACTTCTTTGCACTGAATGCAACTCAATTGAAGTTAATATATGCAAAACTCAGTAGTTTCAGTGGAAGATTTTAGTATGCACTAGATCAGGGGTCGTTTAACTGGCCCACGAGCCACCCCCAAATCAAGCCAACTTGGCGAGTCCCTGCGCCGCACTGTGCCAGTTTAGCACAGCGCGCGGGGACTCGCTTCTGCGGCAACGGTAATTGCATCTGCGCAGGCGCCGGAAAGTACATGATCCGGCCCATGGAGGGTTCTCTGCTGGAGTGAACTGGCCCAGGCGAGGTAAACCTTGCAGACCCCTGCACTAGATTCTCCTGAAATGATCTGAATGTAAATTATTAACTTGGCTGAATACTACCTATTGGGAGGTATCCAGTTTACTCTTTCACTTAATGCAATGACTTCTGTTTGTGCAGTGAACTCTCCCCCTCCCCAAATCTACACAAGAGGTCTGGGATAAGCCACAGAACAGCTATACGGGGCATGCGGAGACACACAGGGAGAGGAAATCCCAGTGCAGTGTCAAAAGTCCTTGTGCAAATAGAACAAAGGCTTTGAATACTACCTACTGTGTTTTTTACTATTGTACACACATTATACATTTATTTGTCCATGCTGCTTTTGGCCACAGGCTCCCAAAGCAGGGCATACACAACACACATAGCTTGTAAATTCAGATGGACTTGCAATATACAATTCAAGTCATTTGGTGACTGGGACTTACACTGTTAGCATTACCAAAGAATGAGACATTAGAGGTGATTTACACAACGCTGGTAGCACCAGTATATCAACTATTGTGGACACCTCTTTTTCCATTCTAGATCTACTATTCCCATAGAAAAGTGCACTGAAGCATGTCCCTCCACCGCATCCCATGGTTTGTATGCACTATCTGAATGTTAACTATGAATGTGTTACTGACAGGTTTTTAGTACAAACATTAAATCCATTTGCCAGGTGGTAATTTAACTGCCAAAATATGCACCTTCACTGTGAATTTATTAACAATATTAACCCAGGCTGCTATGAACAGAATACTCTGGGGAATAATGGATCATTCTACTCATGCCCACTATAAAGTTGTCCACGGATTCTGTCCCTGATAAAGTCAATGCTGAATGGGAGCCAACACATCACCTCTGGGAAGGGACAAGTGTCCTACTCATTTCAACAGCTCAAGGGGTTAACCAATACAAGTAAGAGCATACATCCCTGTGTTTCACATGTGCCCCTTTACATTTAAATGCAGATAAGCATGTTTGTTGCTGGCATGAAAAGCAAATGTGGCAAATGACTTTTAATGTAATACATCATGGGGTAAATGATTTTACCCATGGTCCACATCCGGTTTTGTTTTGGATCTCAGAGTCCTCACATGACTGCTCTCGCCAAGAAAAACTCAATGAACGGATAGGACAGAGGTTGCCACTGCGCTACACTTACGCAATGCAAGCAACTACAGCTTCCAAGTCAGTTGCAATAAACTGTGGGTACAGCAACCTGTCTTGTTTTACAAGGGATTTGCAGAAATGTTTGCTCTTCCTTTCTTTGACTGCAGGTCTACAATGTGTTAAGTTCAATGTACTTAGCAACTTACTCAGCAACCTACTGTGAAACACTGAAGTGATTGTATTCTTTGTGGCTGTTTGAGATGCACTCCTCTGTGCATCCTTCAGCATTCCTGTTGCTTATGTGTTTTTGATCCTCCACCCCGCACAGCTGACAATATGCTGTGCTCTTAATGCTCAAACAGTTGCATATGCTAGCTAAGCAGACAGTAAGTTATTTCTGTGGTTTAGGCTGGTGAAACTCCACATAAACATCTCATAGGGGATGGGGAAGGAGAGAGAAATAAGACCACTAGCCACTCAAATCAGCATCCCACCCCAGTTAAGGACTAGTTAATAAGGCACTGGAGGAGAAAGATTAATTCTGCCAGGTCACCAGGAGGCTAGTGCTCTGCTCCTTCTCACAGAGGAAAGAAATAATGCAACAGGCAAGGGAAATACAATAGATCACAGTACCTAGTATGTCTTGTGCTCATGTGTCAAGCCTTGCATGGTTACAACATACAACCAGAAGATTAGAGCAGAAGCCAATGTTGCTCACTAGTCACACATAATGTTTTAAGCTTTAAATACAGGTGTGTCTAATACTAATTATCTATTTTACCTGGTCACTGACAGACGCCGGCAAGTAGCGGCAGACTCTTTCCAGAAAATCTTCAATTTCAGCAGTGGTAGCATTTTTTGCCAATTCCTTGTCAGCATATGCAACAATCATCTTGCAGACATCACAGATGTCCCCAACCTGCGGCTGCACTGGAACAATTTTTTCTGAAAATACAAGAGTCCAATGTTCAAAGTTTTTTCCTATAGCCACTTAACTAAAATATGCAATACTGAAAAGAAAAAAAACCCGTGTGGCGCCAACTAAAAACATGTAGGAGTGCTTAGTGTAGAGTACTGTTTCCTTAAGTTCTTACCAGCAGGCAAAGTATTGTCTGAGCAGCACCTCAACATCACACACACCATTTTAGGGTCAGTTGCTTCCAAAAGCATGTCAATTATAGACTTCCCATAGACATCCACGAAGTCCTTGCACTCTTGTCGGTATTTTTCAGGTAGCACAGAACAGACTTTCTCCATTCCATAAACCATCTCCTCCTAGTACATACAAAATGAAAATGTTAAGTAAAGTAACTTTCGTGATAATAGTTACAGAGATTGTAAAGGGACATCTACTTACCAAGTTAGAATCTGAAGCTATTTGTGTTGAGCAAGTTAATACATTATTTTAGCAAAGAGATATCAATACCTCTCCTATTTATTATTCCACTGAAAGGAATTAACTTTCAGTGTGGCACACAGCTATTTAATGTGGATTACACAAAACCGTAACAAAGGAAAATGTGGACTCTGATTCATCAAATACTATCTATAAGAAGTTGGAAAAACTCAGACATCGTGTAAGCATAATATGAAGTTATGCTATAAAATCCTAGGCATACTATTGCTATGATACTAACACTTCTTTAACAATCAAAGCAAACAGCACCTAGATAGCAAGATGTATTTAGGGGGAAAGGTATTTAGTGTCCCTATCCTAAGAGATACGTAGGTAAAAGATACACACCTCTGTCTTATTGCTTTCCAGAAGGCTGGCCACCTCTTCTACCATTATCGTACATGCATCACACAGAGAGAAAGATTCTGTTTGACTCAAGCTATTCTGTATATTGGAATAAATAACATATACAGCAGTTCAGAAAACATTCAAACATGTAACACATCTAGAAGACCACCAGCTACAAAAAACATGAAATGTGGTATGATTTTTGGTTCTAAGTCCGCTTGAGTTTACAGAATACATGAATCTTTAAAATTACATTTGCATAAATCCTTTGTATTTGTCCCACTGCTTATCTCTGAAAAAAATAACCTAAATTGTATTATTTTCAGGTTTTACTATCGACTGAAGTCTGTGCAATCCCATAAATGAAATCCGTAACTTTTAAATGCTATGGACAGCATCCAATATTTGAGGCTAACATGTAAGGCGGCATGCTTAGCTGTGGCAAATTGTGAATGCTTTTCAGTACTAGACAATCTAGACTTTTACTTTTCTTCCCATACAACAAAAAAACATTTTGCTTAGTGAGTACCAATTGTTACTTGTGGAAAGGCAGAAGACTAACACAATTTTTTATTTTCTCCCTCCACTACAGAATTATATGTGCAAAGACAAGGGGCTTAGGGTGATGGTCCCAAGCTATTCAACTATAGCATGTGGATGGAATCCAAAAAAGCCCAGGTATATATGGCAGGGAGGGAGAAGACAGCAAAATTTTGCCATCCAGCAGGAACTGCTTGTGCCGAGAGGGGAAGAACAAACAAATTCCAGGCAATTTAAATAACACTCAGTTATCAAAATCACTAATCCATTTCCCAGTAAGCTGCCTCATACCTGGTCAGATTATAATGCCACTGAGCTTAGATTTACTCAGCCAGGCAAGAGTCCTCCAAGGTCTCAGGCTGAGGTGTTTGCCATCACCTCTACCTGACCCCTTCTAAAGGTTTATGCAGGGCTTGAAAATGGAACATTCTTCCATACAAAATATGTGCTCTTTCACCACTGAACTATGGTTCCTCCCCAACTATGGTTTTCTTTGTCAAGTAATTGTATAAACAAAGCAATTGTATCTGCCTACATGTTTTATTTATAAAATTATGTATGCACCACTATTCATAAGTTATGTATTAAAACAGTCATATAGAAAGCCATACCATAAAAAACCATATAAATATTTAAAATTAGAAATCAGCTAACTATTATGGAAAGATGTAATCTTAAGTGTCTGCAGAAGCCTTGATAACTATAGTTTGCTGAATATTTTTGTTATTTACCTGCATTTGCCATACAAATAAACATATGTATTCAGGCTTTGGTTAAGGAGTGCATAGACAAAATAATTAAGTTTGGTGGCTGGAGCTATATAGCATGGTTCTGGTGCCTAGAAACCAGAACTTTTCTTCCAACTGAACTGTGGGTTTGACAGGCCGAGAAGTGCATGGAGAGCTGGATTCATCTAGGTATGCATTAGCCACATGCTTCTTTGAATATTTGTTATGATCCCAAGTGGCCCAGAGGGGTCGTTTAACCGGCCCATGAGCCGCCCCCGAACTGAGCCGCCTGCTTGGCGAATCCCTGTGTGTTGCGCTAAACCAGCGTGGCGTGGGGACTCACTTCCGCAGTGCCGGAAATTGTGTCTGCGCAGACGCAGACAATCGCGAGCGGGTGCACTCATGTACACATGCAATCCGGCCCACAGAGGGATCTCTGCTGGAGTGAAACGGCCCAGGCAAGGTAAACCTTGCCGACCACTGGTTATGATGGCAAGAATCTACTGGATGACATTAGTGGCATCAAGGCTGAACCAGGTAATGTCATCCCACACCAAGAGTACTATATAGACTGCTTAACACCAAATCTTACCTCAACTGGTTCTACCTTTTCTTGAGAGATAACTTTTGCAGGTACCAGAGTCTGGAGAGGCACAGATTTCAGAGAAGAACACAATCCAACCATGCCACAAAGAACCTGGGGTTGCTGGAGACATAAAGAACAGTTCCAATTATTTCCTGATAGTCTGCAGGAAGGAGAACTAGTCAAGTCTTAGCACACCACACACTAAAGCTGTGAAAGGAGTTTCAAATGCCTTTCAGATGATACTACAGTGATACCTCTAGTTACAGACTTGATCCATTCCGGGGTGCCGTTTGCACCCCGAAAAGTCTGCAACTAGAGTGCCACTTCTGTGCACGCACGTGGCGTGATAGAGTGCTTCTGCACATGAAACGGAAGTATACACTTCTGGGTTTGCCGCGTTCGTATCCTGAAAAAATGCAACCGGAGACTGACGTAACAAGAGGTACGACTGTACTTGAGCTTTCAGTTTGAATTTCTCCAATAATTGAACTGCCTTTAGTAATTCAACTGTAAAGGTAAAGGTAAATGGACCCCTGACTGTTAGGTCCAGTCGAGGACAACTCTGGGGTTGCGGCGCTCATCTCGCTTTATTGGCCAAGGGAGCCGGAGTACAGCTTCCGGGTCATGTGGCCAGCATGACTAAGCCGCTTCTGGCGAACCAGAGCAGCGCACGGAAACACCGTTTACCTTCCCGCCGGAGCGGTACCTATTTATCTACTTGCACTTTGACGTGCTTTCGAACTGCTAGGTTGGCAGGAGCTGGGACCGAGCAACGGGAGCTCACCCTGTTGCGGGGATTCAAACCGCCGACCTTCTGATTGGGAAGGTTTAGACCACAGCGCAAAATGCTTAAAGGTTGACTAGAGACAAGATTTTCTTCCTCAAAGCTGAATTGCTTTAGAATGGCAATCCAAAGGAGAGCAGATACACAGTCAATGCAATGCTTTCTTTGCTCAACATACCTCATGATGCTACACTTAAGCAGTACTCAAGAAAAACTTGGGTGTGCCAGTGAATTACTGATTCTCTAAAAGGCACTTTGCTGGATACCATATTTATGCCCAGTTTCAGGAGGCATAAATATGTGTTTCTAGGATGACACTAATTAGCAGTTCGCATTAAACTGTTTTGAAGTAGCCAATTCACATTTCCACACAAAAGAACAAGATCCAGCCATTGATAAAACCAAAATTGCATTTGGACAATTTGAATTCTTTTTCTGAACTCAAAGAAGATATTATCTGTATCTGAAAGACACAAGCTTTCCTACCTGCAATTTACTGTTCAGTGCATCTGCATGCAGACTGTTACAGATATTGCAAAATTTATACCATGCTCAACTATCATAACCACTGCAAGTTTTATACCTTATAGAAAATACTTGTTCCATTAGTTTACTTGTTTAATTATATAAATCTTTCATAAGGTACTTCCTTTGCCCCAGGAACACCCTCCTTCTTTGCATTCCATTCCTTCTCCGCTGCAGTACGCTACTTAGCATATTCAAATGGAATGTGCTATTTAATTAGTGGCAGTTACTTTTAGTTCACTTTGACCACTGGTCTTTAAAATATGAGGAAAACAGTGCAAGTTGCTTGCCATTTGAAAAAGAATGTGTACCAAGATATTGGAATATACATCATATATAGCTAAATTAACAGAAATTAAGAACATTTCTACACATTTTCCAAGAGTTATGCCAGCATCCTGCTTCTCTCAGGAAAAACTGAATATTGTTTAAGAGAGGGTGAGCTTGTTTGGACTTCACAATAAACCACAGCTTAGTATGATAGAAACAAACCGCAGTTAACCTTGGGCTAACATACTCCTTCTAGCACAGCCAAGAAAAGGAGATGGAAACTGTGGTTATGCATTATGTCCAAAATCAGGTTAATCTCAGTTACAGTAATGTTGAAACAAACCAGCTTAACACAAGCTTGGTTTCGACAAACAAACAAACAACAAAAAATCAGAACCAGAAGCAAGAGTTTCCTATCTCTTCCTCACAGCCATGTCACAGGAGGGTGGGATATAATATTCAGAAGCCCAAGGCTTGCTGCAGCTTGTTTCTGTCGCAGTAGCCATGGTTTAGTATAACATATGGACTGGTCCATTAAGTTGCAAATACTATACAGCTACAGCACCTGGTGATTCTAAAATCATGTTTTTATAAACAGAAAGTACTGCAGAAGCTTTCCCTACTACAGATTAAGCTTTGTTATCTAGTATGGGTGTTTCCACCCAGACAGCCTTTGATGGAGAAAGTCCTCCCTATTTCTAAACACAGGCAAAACCAGGTATTTTCTCTTTCCTTTTGTAGTAGCATGCACTTTTCCTTCAGAACTAAGCTACCATAAAGCAAGGCATATAAGCTTCAGCATTTTAAAGTCTGTTGCCCAAAGAATTCTCATGCAAGAGCAAATATGCCAGGGGAGAAAAAATTCAGCAAGATTGTTAGATATGGAAGAACCTTTCCTCTCCCCATTCTGCCCTCACCTCGTGTTTCCCTCGTTCATGCACTCAAATACAATACTAGAACCAGCACTACACATGCAACACATATTGCCACTAAACTATGACAGGCGCAAGGTCTTCCTAGAAATGTTACTTTAACAGCTATGCCCAAAGAACATTATGGAGTTCCAAAAGCCCCATTCGCTGTAGTACCCTATTGAAGCAGAGTATATGAGCTTCATGGGGCCCTCTGAAGCTCCATTACTAAAATACACATCAGAAGATAATAAAAATGGGGACTCCCTTTTGGTTCAGAATAGCCAAGATGAAATTTCATTCGGCACTTGGAATTACTATTTTTCCAAAGCCACTGTCTGGTCCTTGAATCTGTCAAAGCTGAATTCTGTCACACCACATCTACCTCTAAGCAAGAGTTTAAACTACAGCTGCGGGGGTGGGGCGGAGGGGGGGGGAGAAGCAAGGCACCACCACAAGCAAGTTTCTCACATACCTGTTCCTGCTGTTGACAAAATGGAGAGAAAGGAAGACATGGTAAGTTAACAGGAAAATAACCAAGCAGTTGAATGGTGCACAGATTTTCAGAGGCAGGAAATCTTGCCAGTGACCAAATCGTGGGTGAGATTTGTTTTGCTATGCTTAAAAGCCAACATTTATTCATTTTTTGATACTTGGGTCATTGAAAGTAGTATGGAAAATGCCCAAGTGCAGATAAAATATACAGTAATGAATCTAAGTGCTATTTATCTTTGCTGCCATAAACAGAGGTGGAGCTTCAGTATCTTTCACTTAACTTTTGTTAATACAAAAATGATTGCACATGGTTGGGTAACACACTTTAAAGAAAATGGTCATTTAACAAGCAAGTATTCTGCTGTGAGCAGCAGCTTAGATTCAGCCTCTAAAGCAGCCTTTCTCAACCTTTGGTCCCCAAATGTTGAACTACAACTCCCATCATCCCTAGCTAGCAAGGTCATAGTTCAGGGATATTGGGAGTTGTAGTCCAACAACATCTGGGGACCCAAGGTTGAGAACCACTGCAAGCGAGACACTTCAATTATGACACTGTCAAACTATCATGGTTATCCTATACATATTATTTACTGTATTAATCCTCACATCACACCTATTAGAATGACCCCTTCAGAACTAGAAGTGCAATTATTAACAAACAATATTCCTCTTACCATATGCATCAACATCTGGATGGCTAAGTCTGAATACTGGGAGATGTAGGACTTGCACTATTAGAAAGAGAAGATGATTTGAGATGGAATGTAAATTGTATCATATATACAATATCATTTAAGTCACCATACTGTTCCTAAAATAAGTCATTTGCCTTATGTTACAACAAATTGCCTTCTGATCCAATCCTTTATCAGAGGAACTCATGGATGCAAACATCCCTTCCTTTTATCTCTCAAGTTTGTTGCAAGAATGAGTAAACAGAGATGGTGATCTTGGCAATGTCACCAAGGGAGCACCATAACCAAGTTGGGATTTGAACTTGGTCTCCCTGTTTCTACTCTTCCACAGGCTTGCCAAATAGGGCAAAATTAGAGCTTAAATAGTGTGAGTTTAGAGTCACTGTGGAAGAAGACTTTTAAGCTTTACTATTACCTCAGAAAAGTGACTCTTAGTCTTTAAAAATGGCATTAAAAATCGAATCGTTACTTTACTGTAGCACTTATCCCACTGACACAAGATAAACATAACAATATCTATTCAATTACCAGATCAGCAAACGCAGGTTCAATTTGTTCACACTCTTCTTTGGCATGCTCAATGAGAGAAGTCACAAAGGTTGAGTTGGTCCTCACGGCTTCCTGAAGGTCAGTTATCAGCTTAACACAATCTTGACACACATTGTCATTTCCCTGCAATGACAAGCATTTAGCACACCTTAGTAAGATTACATCTTTGAAAGAAGAACTGAACAAAGCTTTATATAGTATTCTAAAAGCCCTCCAATAAACCAGTTCTAATACAAGAGGCCCTGAAAAGCAGTGATGTTTGCTCCCCAGAATAGGATGGGTCACTTTTTTGGGCCAAAGACTCTTGATTAAAATCCATTCATAGCATATACCTTTATAGACTCATTCATTCAACTTGTTTAAACCAACAAAGGATTAGTGAAACGCTGACCAATAAATATTTTACCCTGTTACGTTAATGCCCTCTCCGATTGCCCTCTCCACGGATCTGAGGGCAATGAAACAATTGTTGAGACGGCTAGAGCACCGGTGGCGGATAACTCATTCTGAAGCTGACCGGACACGGGTTAGAACTCAATGTCGAGCCTACCAAGTGGCGATAGCGACGGCGAAGAAGACTTTCTTCACCGCATCTACTGCATCTGCAGAAAACAGCAGCAGGAGACTTTTTTCAGGTGGTTCGCAATTTAGCGGAACCACCTGTTACATCGGGGCCCAGTACGGGCCACATGATCTCCTGCAATGATTTTGCAAAGCTTTTTGCAGATAAAGTCACTCAGATTCGGGAAGAGGTAGACTCCACCGTGGGAGCAGGGCCGGGGCGGGAGAGTGCTAGAGTCTAGTCAAATTGCGTGGGATCAATTCCAATCTGTTACTTCCGAGGGTGTGGACAGGGTGCTTGGACAAGTGAAACCAACCACCTGTCTCCTTGATGCTTGCCCATCCTGGCTTATAAAAGCTAGCCGGGAAGGGCTGGGCGATGGGCTTTGTGGGGTGGTGAATGCTTCCCTCCGTGAGGGAGTCTTTCCAGACCTGCTGAAAGAGGCGGTTATTAAACCGCTTCTTAAAAAACCATCTTTAGATGCGGCCACGATGGCCAACTATCGCCCAGTCTCAAATCTTCCATTCTTGGGCAAGGTGACTGAGCGAGTGGTTGCTGAACAACTCCAGGCACGCCTGGAAGAAGCGGACCATTTGGATCCCTTCCAGTCAGGATTCAGGCCTCATCATGGGACTGAAATTGCCTTGGTCACACAGGTTGATGATCTCCGGCGGGCTAGAGACAAAGGTGAGAGCTGTTTCCTAGTTCTGCTGGATCTCTCAGTGGCGTTTGATACCATTGACCATAACATCCTTCTGGACTGTCTTGAGGGGCTGAGAGCTGGCGGCACTGTCATACAGTGGTTCCGCTCCTTCCTCCTGGGCCGTGTTCAGAAAGTGGTGGGGGGGGATGAGTGTTCAGACCCCTGGGCTCTCACTTGTGGGGTGCCTCAGGGTTCTGTCCTCTCCCCCATGCTTTTCAACATCTACATGCAGCCACTGGGAGAGATCATCAGGTGATTGGGGCTGGGTGTTCATCAGTATGCGGATGATACCCAGCTCTACTTCTCTTTTAAATCAGAACCAGTGAAGGCGGTGAAGGTCCTGTGTGAGTGTCTGGAGGCGGTTGGAGGATGGATGGCGGCTAACAGATTGAGGTTGAATCCTGACAAGACAGAAGTACTGTTTTTGGGGGACAGGAGGCGGGTAGGTGTGGAGGATTCCCTGGTCCTGAATGGGGTAACTGTGCCCCTGAAGGATCAGGTGCGCAGCCTGGGAGTCATTTTGGACTCACAGCTGTCCATAGAGGCACAGGTCAAATCTGTGTCCAGGGCAGCTGTTTACCAGCTCCATCTGGTACGCAGGCTGAGACCCTACCTGCCCGCAGACTGCCTCGCCAGAGTGGTGCATGCTCTGGTTATCTCCTGCTTGGACTACTGCAATGCGCTCTACGTGGGGCTACCTTTGAAGGTGACCCGGAAACTACAACTAATCCAGAATGCGGCAGCTAGACTGGTGACTGGGAGCGGCCTCCGAGACCATATAACACCGGTCTTGAAAGACCTACATTGGCTTCCAATACGTTTCTGAGCACAATTCAAAGTGTTGGTGCTGACCTTTAAAGCCCTAAACGGCCTCGGTCCAGTATATCTGAAGGAGCGTCTCCACCCCCATCGTTCTACCCGGACACTGAGGTCCAGCACCGAAGGCCTTCTGGCGGTTCCCTCACTGCGAAAAGCCAAGTTACAGGGAACCAGGCAGAGGGCCCTCCCACCAGATGTCAAAGAGAACAACAACTACCAGACTTTTAAAAGACATCTGAAGGCGGTCCTGTTTAGGGAGGCTTTTAATGTTTGATGTAGTACAGTATTTTAATATATATATTTTGGAAGCCGCCCAGAGTGGCTGGGGAAGCCCAGCCAGATGGGCGGGGTATAAATAATATATTATTAATATTATTATTATTATTATTATTATTATTATTATTATTATTATTATTATTATTATCTTTGTCCTGGAGAGGTTGTATCATTATTATTCCAGAGTACAGCAAGATAAAAACTCTGCATGAGCAGAACTGACCTCTCAGTTACGTGTCTTGATACAACGTCTATTTTGTTACTTCTGATTTAGTAAAGAAACAGGCTGATAAACCGATTAAGGTTTGGATAATTTAATTTGCAGATGCAGTAGAACACTTTGCCAAAAGCATCAGCTACATAGACTGCTATTGCTGAAACCAAAGAAGTTTATTTTGTACAGGCTTGTATTCCAGAGTTTTGAGTACAGTCAAGCTATATTTGTTAAGAATTATCCATGGGAATAACCCATTTGTTGCACAGTCCCATTGCAGTTAAGATCTGACATGCTACATTCTCACCTGAGATTCTTGCTTGGGTTTGTCCTGGGGGTAAAGTAGTAATGGCACATTAGCCATGAAGGGAGATGCCAGTTCAGAGAAATCTAGTTCAGGAATCTTGTTGGACTGAAGCTGTTTCTGCAATTTCAATGTTGCCAGATGCTTCTGAAGAGACTGGCACAACGTGAGTGCACTGCATACAACTTCAGGATTATCCTATAGATCAACAAACAATACTTCATGTTTATTTGCTTCTATCTACTTTAAATTCCAAAGAAGAAATGCCAGACAAGTACCTGACCCCCAAGAATCAAGTAGAAATGACAACAGGAACTAAGCAGCCAGAACTTGCGTAAGCTCCACTCCACAATTATTATTACCAGATCTAACCCTTCTTCTAGCCCTAGCCATTAAGGTTTATCACCCACCACACAACATCTAAATGCTTGAAAAAGAGAAGTATTAGGTTCACCCGCTTAGCTTGTCCAATTAATTTGGAATAAAATAAAATTGCTTCAATTTCAGTAGACTACTCACAAGCTCCTCTTTGATCATATCCAGAATATTTGGCAAGTAAGCATCCACCATTTCCTTGCACTGAGATACCAGCTCTTGGTCAGGAAGAAACTCACATGCTTTAGTCATGTAGGCATTTATTTCCTCCTGTAACAGAAAATAGGTGATTTATAGCCTCAAGGACTGAACAGATTTGCCTACCTTTCATTTTCAGAAAGAAACCCTTAATGATTCCCAAACCATGAAAGAGGGTCATTAAAATTAGTGTACCTGTAGCTAGTTTTTAAAATTAGCACTAAAAACCTGACTAGAAGGCACAACTCTTGCAGTCTGTAGCTCCTTATGTAGTGGAATCCAAATAAAAGTAGTAACTCCCCTGCTAAAAAGGAAGGTCAGGTAGCCTTTGTCTACCAGTAGAGTTATAAGGTGGTTGTTTTTTACATTGATTTCAACAATCTGATAATGCAATTGGAATTTAAGTAAAGAAGCTATTTGGGGGATAAACTTTGTATTTGACTTTGATCCCTGCACCTTTGCAAGGCCTCAGAGCAGCTCACTTCAAAGTTTTATACACTGCAATAATTCTGTCCCTAAAGGGCTCATAATCTGTGAATATGTTATCCAATATCCCCACCACTCAATTTCAACAGAGTAATTTTCAATTTAGAAAGTGTAATGCTTTGTACATTTTTATGCAAGGGGCATTATCAACTGAACTAGCATCCTGCAAATCATTTATCAGATTAGACCACACCGAAGCTCCACTCTTACCTCCGTGGCATTGTCCTTCAAGACCTTGCCAGCCACAGCTACAACTTCTTTGCATAAGTCACAAGGGATGCTTTTCTGAGGAGAACATACAGCTTTGATCAATAAGGACACGTGCATACTATTGCCCAGTACTACACTAGTATTGCCTCTTACCCTTAAGAGAAATTACAATTCATCATTCACATGGACCATGACACCACCCACTGATAACTGTTCCAGTAGCAGGATCTAGAATACCATCTAGTCAGGTTGCGTGGGAGAAAATTCAGCTGCTGCAACCCAAGGATGTGGTTCAATCACACATAGCCTCAACTCTTATCCATCATGGCTTTCAAGAGGAAGCTGAAGGGGATTGACTGGGGGGATCCAAATGGCAGTGAAACACTTCTTTGTTCAAGAACCTCAGAAGCTTTCCCTGGAACCCAAAGTTTATATTAATATCCCCCTTTTTAAACAAGGTGCTAAAGAGGGTGGTGGACATCTTCAGATACTTTTGGAAGAAACTGATTCTTTTGAGCAATTATAACCAGGGTTCTGGCTGAAACACCCTTGGTCACCGTGATGCACGATCTCTGTCAGAGAAGGATAGGGGAGTGAAACAGATTCTCCCTGATCTCTTGGCAGTATTGGTAATGATATGGCAGCACTGCTACATTCAGTTGAACTCACTATGCAGCACTGTGACAATGTTGGAGACATTGTTCTTTTAATTGTGTTATTTTAGCTATCCCTGTCTGTTGTAAACAAAATACTGGAATATTATTGTTTTATTTTGTGATTTTATGTTATTGTGACCTGTCCTGGGATTGGCAAGAAATGTGAGATATAAATAAATATCTGCAATAAATTTCATGTAGACTACATCAGGCGGCAAAAGCACTACTCTCCAAGTCAGCTTCCTAGTTTGGATAAAATAGGGAACCGTTTTAATAAACTCTTAAAGTGTACATGGGCACATTTGTTCTTAGTCAAATATAAACTGTAGCTGATGAGAGAGAAATTGGGTCACATTTAATAACATGGAGCGTAACACCAAAAACCTGCCAGATTGTGTGTTCCTTCACATAAAGGGACAGTTATGCTCAGTGATGACCTGTCCTTGGTCTTTGAAAGTTCTAAGAACTTAGTTTTCTTTCAACTCGAGTTATCATGTTCAGTGTATATGCATGTATATTGCGAGTCATCACTCCCCTTTCCTTCTAAGCAAAAGATATGCAAGTGCATAGCCAAAGGCTTTGGGTTCTGATCCTAAGTATTACAAAAGCTCTATTTAGTTGTAAACCAATATAATCAGTCAGTTGGTATGTTTGCTTTGTTCAGAAAGCATGGATTATAGAACATTTAAATTTACCAGGGAAACAAAAATTAGTTCGAGTTTACTGTCACATCAAAAAGTTGGACTTACCACTGTAGGCTTGTTCCAAACAGTCTGCCGACAATGCTTAACTGCGTTGCAATGAGATGCAGTCTGCAGGTTCTGACACCATATCTCAGGACCTTTTGCGCACTCTCTGTGCAGTAGGAGGGGGCTTGCCAAAGCTGTTGGGGGAAATTAGTTTTCAGGTTATTTGTTCAAAAACAGGTAAGTCCACTTAAGTAGTTTCATTCTGCTGAGGATCTTTGAAGAACCTTAGAAATAAAAATGATAAATTCATAAAACAGAAATGAATACACAACTGAACAGACCTAGGTTAGCATTACCGTAACTGCCAGAAAACTCTTCACATCATACATTTGAAGCTATTTTTGTGTATTCACCATTTACTAAATACAGATGCATTAGAGTAAGAGAAACTGACAACGGACGAGCTAACATGTTGTGAGGCACCTGTCATCCACCAATTAGGAACTGCTAGATAATTTTGTTTCCTATAGAACAGTGGTTCCCAAACTCCCCCCCCCATCCCTATCACTTGGAAATTGCTGAGGGTCTTGGTAGACTGCTTAGTAAATTTTCTGCCTGTTGTAGCAACTAATGCACTGTGCTAGATGCTGTATAATTTTCAACTGTATTGCTATTGCTTTATTTATTGTATGTATTTTAACCTACCTATGGGGTCTGTGGCACCATTCACGTAACAAAAACTACTATTGAGGTATCAAAATTTTCAAATAGCTTGGGGCGTCTGAAAAATCAGGGGTCTGCAGTACTTAGCTAATTGGGAGCCACTGCTCTAGGACTTTCCTCCAGTATTGCCCACTGCAGGAAACTATCTTAAATTCACAATGGAACAAAGCTGAGTAAGGTGGTTATGGACATTTGCTTTAATTTAAGAATGAAAGCAAGAGCTGTACTGCATACATCTGTGAAGGTCAGGCAGTGGGGGATAGTTGCTGCTCCCATTCCCAGCTTTGAGGCTCAGAAATAAAACTTGGGGAGTATTTTATTTTATTCCTGTGTTTTAAAATTAATATTGTTATAGCAAATTCACAATGCTTTAAATGTATTACGATTCAGAAGGGAGCAATGTCAATCTAGCATCAATACTTCACTCACTGGATTACTCAGTTATCAACATTTCAGGCTTGATGGTAAAGAAAGCACTTCAATTATTGCAAAAGAGAACATCAAACATTTAGTCTAATCTAAATATTATTGCCAAGTTTATTGTTTCTATAATGTACAATGGCTTTGCCACTAAAACCTCCAATTCTTCCATCTTCAACAGTAATGGGAGAATTGGAGTTTGAGCATGTGCAAACAGGCACATGAGGTATTTATCACAATAAATTTTCCAGTCATACAATCTTCCACTTCCTATAGCAGGCTTCCTCAAACTCAGCCCTCCAGATGTTTTTGGCCTACAACTCCCATGATCCCTAGCTAGCAGGACCAGTGGTCAGGGATGATGGGAATTGTAGTCTCAAAAACATCTGGAGGGCAGAGTTTGAGGAAGCCTGTCCTATAGTCTATAGAACATGGAAATTGGAAACTACCTGTATGTAACTACAGAAATTCTGATGAGACTTTTAGTTATCTAGCTTCTAGGGGAATTTTACTGGGATGGACAAGGATATAAAGCAGCCTGTGAATAGCTGGTTTTGTCTATTACTAGACACAGCCTGGTCCTACCATTACATGCAGGACCTGCTTTCCTAACACAATGCCTTCTCAGGAAATCATTCATTAAGAGAGTGTTTGCATAATGAACTGATGATTTCCCATTACTTCATATGGGAACATGTCTAATCCATGCTTTTGCCCTCCATGCTTTCTGCCTGAAACTGCTGCAGCTAATCAGCAAAAGCCAAAGAGAGAAAACACAAATTTGTCTGATCTCTTTCCCAACCTCCATGGTTTCTGCCAAAAATGTCTGCCACAAAACACAATCTAGTAAGGAAGCAGGCAAAGTGTGTCTGTTCAGATATGTTTGTGTAACAAGGTTTGAGTATAATTATTTGTGTTCGGATAACTTAAGATTTCAGAAAACAAGCATTCCGATAGTGGGACCAGTGTTGTACTCTGCAGTGAAATGATTTCAGGGTGATCTTGGGACCAATAAGTACTGATGTCCATGATAGACATTTCTTAAGTGGTACCAGAATCCACATGATAGCTCAGTTAGTAGAGCATGAGTTTTAATCTCAAGGTTCTGGGCCCATGTTGGGCAAAAGGTCTCTGCATTGCAGAGGGTTAGACTAGATGAACCTAATGGTCCCTTCCGCCCCTAGAATTCTATAGTTCTATGCAGATGTAGCTGCTTTCTTTTTCAATTTACATTACTGATTATGGTAAGTAACACTGCAAATCTTATGCGAACAGAGAACTATGTTGCACACAAAACTGAATCAACTTCTAGATAAATCTTTCCTTTGGAACATGCAGTACTTTGCAATCTAAAGCACATATTTCAAGTACCACTGAAATTAATACACACAAACTCACAATTTTTTTCTTATTACAAACCCAGTATCTTAATCATGGTTAGAGCAGCAAGTCTCAAGCTCACATGTGCTCCTCTCACGTGCAAAATCTTCCTTCCCTTCCCATCATTCATCACAATGTAGCATTATACCAGCACTGGCACCAAGTATAGCTGGCTGAAGCTAGGGATTTGCAAACCAGCAGAGATGCTGCATTAGTGTTGCACACGTAAAACATCTTGGCAACGGGTGGGAGAATGCTCAAACAGAGCAGAAGATTGGCAGGGCAGGGGGAGTATGGATTATTTACAAGGACAGGCTAAGATACTTAACGTTTGCAAGGACACAAGCTACTGATAAAGTGCTCCCTTCCCACAGGCTTCAATGTCAGATGCTCAGTCATTTTGCGCAACTTACGAGCTTTCTGTATTGGCCAAAGGTCACTCCTATTTTGTGCAAGACTTTACAAAAGAAATGACAGCTAAGTGACATTCTTCTTGTTCTTTAGGGCTATAATCCTAAATCAGATGTAGAAAACTCACTGGAACTTGCTTCCATAAAATTTATGAAAATGTGCATGCCTTTCTTGTTAAAAGGGCTCAAAAGATAGAGTAAATTTACAGCCATACTGAAACATCTGAGAATAATAGATTTAGAAGGTGCTTTTAACCAAGGCAAGAAGCACCCTCTAGAGGTAAAAGTTGAGAAGTTTTGACCTATTTGCAGTCAAGTTCTCCAGCTCTTAATTGTGAACGAAAAAAGTTTCAATACAAAGTTGTCAGAGGTTTTTCAAACTTAAATTAAATGGTCACAGGTAAGCTAGTCCCTTGTTCTCAATTTCAACATGTTTTTGGCTCAATAGTTTCTGCAACCCAATATGGACCGAGGAGAGTGGAAGAGGCGGAAGTTTGCTTGTGAGCTCATGAAATGGTGCACTTGTGGACCTCAAATTCTGCAGAGCCAAGAGACTTCACTATATCAGAATCACAGTGCAGATGACAGTTCACTGTCTACTTGGCAGCATTTTTGCCATGTATTTGAAATCAGCAGGTCAAATGCTTAGTCAGTTTAATACTAAATACTTATTACAGCAGACCTTTTAAGTGAATTCAGACTTCATAGTTTAAACTGATTTTACCTTTACTCCATTGAGTTGTTCATCAATTACAATTATAACTGTGTATTTATTATTATGTCAATTTATATACCAAGTTTTGTTTCACATGCATGTTGTGGAATGCATTCATACCTTAAACCAATACAATGCATTTTCTCTTTTCTTTCCTTAAAGCAAGAAGGAAAGAAAAACTAAAGTGATCCAATTTACTTGATACTTTGCCCAAGATGCAGCTGCGAGGAGTCACCAGATTTATCGAAACTATCATTCACAAATGATAGTTATCTCCAAAGGCAAGGCTTGAGGCACCAAGCTTTGGAAAAGCAAAAATGTTTATTTAAAATTATGCAATACTATACACATAAATCCAACCAAAGCTAGGTGTGCATCATCCAACAGGGAACTTTAATAAAAGGAGGGTGACTAAAAATCAATGCCTTTAATTTAAAATAAAATAAGAGACCTGCCCAGATTTGATTTAAATTGGACTTTTTAAAAATATCCAATTTCTCAAATAGTTAATTAATGATAAACCTCAATAAAAGCATGAAAGTTCTTTAACTTAATCAAGGAATGTATCAAATAGGTTGAAAAACGTCCTTTAACTGAACCTGGTCAACAGAAGCCCTGGACAATGACTTCCACTTGCACAATGGGGCTTGCCCCCCCCAAATAGTTGGGGGATGGGAGAACCCCCAGAACAGTGCACAGGGGAGGTGGGGGGCATTCTCTCTATGCTTGCACAGATGGAACATTTATAATAGTGCAATATTGAATTCCACCCAATGAGACCACTTTTCAGGCTTTATCTATGAAGTACATACATTTCATTTTCACCCCATGGAACAGTTTGTTATTGAACTAAATAGAGCAGTTTTTTTTTTTTTATCAGACCTTCTAAGCCCTATAAGTCCTGGGTGTTTTGTTTGTGAGGGTAGAGATGAAACATAGCAATGAAGTTATCCAAGGATTTATGTTCATGTATTTCCTATACTTAAAACACAGTCATAACTATTATTGATTAAAAAAAAGACCTTACGGTATTAGCAAATATTTTAAAGGGAAGTTTTTAATGTTTGATGCTTTACTTTGTTTTTAAGTTGTGGGAAGCTGCCCGGAGTGGCTTGGGCAACTCAGTCAGATGGGAAGCATATAAATAAATTATTATTAGAAAAAAATAAGGAAAAAACTATATATGCAGAGTGACAAAGTTGTAATGCCTCCTGTAAACAGTAGTGCAAACAGTGCAAACTAGTATTGTTTAGTGGCTAAATTTGCAGTATTGTTTAGGAAAGATGAACCAATAGGAAACTTGATTTAACACTGCAATCTTAAGCAACACATCTGCTTTCTGGTGTATTTCCTGTACAAATCAAACTGCATCCCAACTGTTCTTAGTTGGGCAGGGGCAGGCAGCAAGTGAGTTTAAATCTTTGTTTTCTGCCCTTCCCTAAATTTCTATGGAATGAATTTTAGTCACACCTGCATTTTGGATGGAGCTAACTTACACGAAGCTTGGATTATATCATAGATCATTAGCTTAAGATTTGTCTTTCCTCTTGCAATTCTAAATCATGATCTAAATGGTTTTTAAATTGCTGTGACATAATCCACCCTAGATGAAGGCACCACTTCCACTAGGTCTCTCCAAGTGTTGGGATCACTTCCATTTTGAAAGGTGGGGTGTTTTGTTTTGTTTTTGTTTTTTAGCTAAGTAGGCTAGCTTTATATTTATCACAAAATATCAGATGCCTTTGCCTGGGCTACTCACCTCCCTTTCCATTTGCTGCATTCTACAAGCACCCAAATAGTAATTCAAGAATGAGCATAATTATTTAGTAATAATCTGTAAAAGCAGTGTCACATAATTTTTTTACAGTATTAAGCAGGATATAAATGTTCTTAAATAAACAAGCTAGATGGCTCTTAAGTCATTCATTGCAGAGTTCAGAGAAAGTGACAGTATAGCAAGAACACCCTCTTAAGCAGCAGACAGGAGCTTTAATTGCTACTGTTTAGGCATGATAGCTGTGGAAGCTCAGTGTGCAAGGGGAGTATACCACTAAACCCCAACTGCTGGGGTCAGACATTGGACAGCTCGTGCCTTAGGAACATCCTAGGGGCACCTGGCCTTCCTGGAAAGAGGATGTTGGGACTAATTCCTATACTGCAGGGAGTTGAACTAGATGACCCTTGGGGTCCCTTCAAATTCAGAAAGTCTATGAATCTATGAAGCCTATCACAGGGAGAGTCAGCAGACTCCTCACCCTCCAACTTCACTTGACTGCAGTGCCAGGGTGTTCTAGATAGCAGTAACTGGCTTATAGTCATTAAATATGTTTTTCCACCTCAGGTAACTTTGAAAGTATTTCCTTTGCATGATGCACTTGATTATTTCCATTCCTTTTAAAATTACTGCTTGTCTATGAACCAGTATACAAACCTTCAGGGTTCAATTCAACTCGTGTTTCGTCATACTTGGTGCTGCAACATTAATTGTTGCAAAATTTAACCCCTAAAGATAAAGCTTTCTTTGGATTATCCACCCACAAGTTTATGTGATGCTTTGAGAAAGATATGTATCATTTGCGGTGAGAAATCTTGTTGAAAGTATGCCTCTTAGATACAATCCTCAAGATCCAAAGCAAATTCCAGAAATACTTGATGGTAGCAATTTTACTTTTCTAGAATTTACACTTGTCTTGTTGAAAAGACAAGTGTAGCTAGCTAAATCCTGGCATGATCGTTTTCTACAACTAAGAATTGGGTTATTTCTTGCCCCCTTTTCTTCAGGTTCTCAATATATCATGACTAGCTAAACCTTTTTGTGGCCTGAAAGCTCGTGGGCTCATTTACAATGCTGTTCCAGCTGCTGCTCTTATGCATATATTTTGGTTCAATGGCTTTATTCTCTGCTTTCCACATCATATACTGCAGCTGCCATCAACCGCAATTCTTCAAAAGAAACCTTTCTGCAGGTATTTCAATGCAGTGCTTTTTGCATCCAGCTTATACTATAGAACAGCTTCCAACACACCAAAGCAAGTATTTGGTTCCTGTGGGGGTATGCTGCAAAGCTGAAACGTAAAGGAATTGATGGAATGACAACACCATAAGTGGAGTTAAGAATTTACAACTAGGAATAAGAGCCAGACACCTGAAGAATCACAGCTTATTTATCTATTGGGAGCAAGCTTGATTCAGTGGCACATGATGACATTTTCATGCCCAGGGAATGCATATATGTAATAAAAACAGGGCTAAAATGCCAGAAACATAAGGATGCTTGAAGCATTTGAGGAAGCCACAAGACAACTTTATGGAAGGGCCAGGTGCTGTTAACAGATGCGCCAATCATGAAATACCACGTCTAGAAGCATTGTGCCCTTCCATGCCAGCTGTTGTGAACAGGTAGGAGAGGACAACCTGTCAACTTCACACCTTCGCCTTCCAGAGATATTTGAACAGCAGCTGCTGGGAAACTGTTGGATTAGTATGGATTCTTTTTTTTTGGGGGGGGGGAGTTATCTGAGGTCCGAAGGGACCTTGGGGTGGCATGGGGTCACCTACTCCAGCCTCCTGATCAGAGCAGCCTCAGCTATGCAGAAATACAACTGCAAAACCATTGACCAGCTGTTTGGCCAGAAAAAAAGGGGGTAACGAGTGTGTTAAAAACCCGTGAATTCAGTTGGCGGCGATGACGGCGAGGGCGGGCAGTTCCCATTTAAGGTGCGGGGGGGGGGGCGGAAGCTCGGCTACGCCCCAAGCCTGGCAATAAACAAACAACAGGTCCCCGAGGCCGCCCTCAAAACACACCCGACGGCGACTTGCGCTTTTCTCCTGCACAGCGTGCTTCACTGTAAGGGCGTCTTACTAAGCCTTGCAGAAACATTATTAACAGTATCTGGACGGCCTCCGAAATATAAAAAACGCAGGTCTTCTAAAGGAAGTCTTCTCAAGATCCGCGCCAAAACGGACGTGTAGGGGCACGTCTAATAGTAAATCCTTTGCCCGCCGTGGCGGAAAGAAACGCAGGGTGAGGTGGGGGGGAGGTCGCCTTGTAGAGAGAAGAGACAGGGCAGGGCAAAGAGGGGCGCTTTCTAATGGCGGCCAAGAAAGAAGGCGGAGCCCCCCCCCTTTAAAAAAGAAATGAAAAAAGAAGCCACCCTCCCCTCCCAGGCACCTCGCCGCTTTCGTTTTCTGAGGTAAAGATTCTGTGCTGTTCTCCCCCTTCGTCGCCCTCCTTCCTCCTCCTCCTGAGGGAAGCCAAGAGCCCACCATTTTTTATTTTTAAATGGAAGCCCAAGCAAAGCAAAGCAACGAACCCCCCCCCCCCAGGGCGGCTCTTCCTGCTTTTCCACTCCCTGAATAATAACAATAACAGCTGCAGCTGCTAACGGGACCGAGGGCGCGGCCTCGCTTTCTTACCCGCCGCCAGCGAGCAAAGGAGGACGAGGAGAGCGGAGCGCTGCATGTCGGCTTTTCTCTCGGGCTGCGCAGTCTGCAATGCGGGAGGGTCAGCTGACAGGCAGCCTATATAACAAGCCGCGCCGCCGGCTGGGGAGGGAGGGGGTGAAAGCCAGCTACTGCGCGTGCGCGCCGGTGGGTCGGCTGAAGCTCGGGAGCCCCGCTCCCGAATTGCTGCTGTTGCGCAAGCGCAGTGGTAGACGGAGAGGAAAAACTGATTCTTCCTCGTCGGCCTGGTCTCGTAGTGCGCATGCGTTCCCCGGCTCCCTAGCTCCCCGCAATCCTCTCCGGGTCTGGTGACACTGATTCATCTTAGACATGAGGGGAGGGGGGTTGTGTCATAGACGGGAAAAGGCCGGGATGGTTGATTAGAAGGCTATGAAAGCAAAGTCATGTGAGAGGGGCGGCTGAAGCTCGACCCCCTCCTCTTTGTGTTTGCTCAGCGTTTGCTGAGCACAAAGCCTGCGTAGGCAATCAATGAAATAAATGTATTCGTCGGGATTGCGTGCAGCCCGATCCTGTGTATGCAGCTGTGTAGTGCGATTTTACACCCAGAGGTTACTGTTTTGCAACTTCCCTAGTGCAAAAATAATGGCATATATAACAGATCTTAAATCTTCTAATGAGTAACAAGTCACTCCTGGTGGGATATACTCCCAGATAAGTCCCATATTCACGTACGTACTCACAAATAATGTGTCCCTAAGTGTATATAGGGCTGTGGCCTAAGGCAATTAGGTAATCGTAACAGAGAAACTGCAAAAAGCAAAGGGGTTTGCTCCTTTGCTGTCCTCTGCCTACTCAAGGGATTCATGCTCTTAACACACTCACGCTCACTTCAAATGAGCTTTGGTCCTGATAGTACAGTGGTGCCTCGCAAGACGAAAAGAATCTGTTCCGCGAGTCTCTTCGTCTTGCGGTTTTTTCGTCTTGCGAAGCAAGCCCATTAGCGGCTTAGCGGATTCGCGCTGTTAGCGGCTTAGCGGATCAGCTGATAAGCGGCTTAGCGGCTTGGGGAAAGGGGGGGGGAGGAAAAAAACCCTGCAGGAACTCGCAATACATTTTCGTCTTGCGAAGCAAGCCCATAGGAAATTCGTTTTGCGAAGCACCTCCAAAACGGAAAACCCTTTCGTCTAGCGGGTTTTCCGTCTTGCGAGGCATTCGTCTTGCGGGGCACCACTGTATTTGAAGTATCCTTTGTGAATCTAAGCTCTTGCGCCATGGCTGCAATAGGCCAATTTCTTCCAAGTGCCTTTACTTTTGTTACATCGTAAGTGGTCACATGCAGGGAAAAAATAAAATTGTGAAATATATGCCTTAAGTGTGGTTTCTTAGCTTTAGCAAATGGAGAATTTGGCAACTTAGGCACCAGGTAAAAACATTCCTTTTCAACCAGGCCTTTGGATGCTTTAACAATCTATGACCTTTTAAATGTGTCTGGAGTGGGGTTATTGATTTTGTTTGTTGTTATGCATTTTTGTTTTCATATTGTAAACCAGCCTGTGATCTTCAGATAAATCTATAAAATAAATAAAAATTTCTAAATTTCTAAACTGCTATATAACTGAGGGTTGGCTATGATCCTAAACTACCATCACCCTCAGGGCAGAGGGGTTTGCTTCAGTGAGCTGAACCAGGACTGTGCTGAAAGTGTCTTTTGTCTGTTATCTCTCTAGACTAGGATAAGCCAAGCATTTCTTTACTGTGAGCTAAATGTCACATTTATAGTAGTTCCACAGGCAGAACTGATGTGACACGTAGCCTCCATTTTCACACATCTTAAGAGTTGTCAGGGGCATAAAATATTATGTTCTTAAAGGGAAAGAGGCAGAAGAAGCAGAGGTCAGATCTGGGGATTGGAGAATGAAAGCTTCTTAGGGTGCTTCTCTTTGGATTTCTGGTGTGAGGTAGCAGAAGTGGCTATGTTGCTTGCCTCCTCCTAGGTTGCCTTTGTAAATATGTCAAATGTTACAAAAATGCCGTGTGAGTCTCCAGTGGTCTCTTCTCCAGAAGAGACCAACACCCCAAAAGTGCTGCCTCTGGAACTTTTCACAAGTGAGGAACATGGAACAGCATTCACAGACTAGCCTTCTGCCATCTTTGAGTAAGAAGCTAGAATGGAAAAATACAAACACAGTAGGAGACATGAATGAATGTCAGGAGAACAAGGAGCAACAACCACACCCTCCTGCTGCAGTGTACTGCAATGCTTTCCAGCTCAAGCTTCTCTGGCTTCCCTCCCAGACCTGTTCAGGTGCAGAAGCTAAGCCTGGAGGTCACAAATGCACTGGTTTCAGATTTGCTTCTTGGCCTAGTTTTTTTAAAACTGCAGTAGCATTGAGTAGAAGATACTGGGTGAAAAATACCTCTCTAGAATCCCTGGGCTGCTGGTTTTTGTTTTGTTTTAACAAAACAAAAAAAAGCACAGGGTCTTGTTGAAAGGAAGCTGGCCTTTACAGATGGCATTCCTGTAGCAAGACTTGCACCACTCAAGGGAGGGCCTTCTTAGGCATAGTACTTGTGTTTTGAAACTACTGCTTGCCCTGGGAAATTCAGTTCACTTCCTCTCTTTTTGCCCTTTTGCAACAAGTGTTGTCTGAATGCTTCTTCAGGCAGCCCGGAATAAGCTTGAACGTACCGTATTTTTCACTCCATAAGATGCACCTTACCATAAGAGGCACCTAGTTTTTAGAGGGGGAATGGAAGGGAAAAAATATTATTTAAAGGAAGCGCTGAGCAGAGCCTGTATGCATCCCAGGCTCTGCTCAGCACTCCCTTTCACGAGCCGTGCGGAGCGTGTGTGTGGCGCTTGCGGGCTTTTCCTCTCCTCAGGGAAAGGAGAAAGCACCGCACACACGCTCCGCACAGCTCGTGAAAGGGAGCATGGCTCTGGGGGGCTTTTCCAGGAGGTGGGGGAAGGGACTGAGGGGCTAAGCCAGAAGCTAGAACAGCAAGAGGGAGTGCTGTGCATCAATACCTCTTGCTGTTCTGGCTTCTGGGATAGCTGCGCAGCCTGCATTCGCTCCATAAGACACACACATATTTCCCCTTACTTTTTAGGAGGGAAAAGGTGCGTCTTATAGAGCGAAAAATATGGTGATTCCCACCTGTCCAGTTTGGAAGTGACATACACCAGTCTCCTGCCACCGCTGCTGCTACTGAAGGACCTCCTTTCTCCATAAATACTTGCCTACACCTTAAGATCATCATCAGAAGGCTTCCTCTAGGTGCCCCTATCATCTAGGGCAGTGTTTCCCAACCGGTGTTCCGCGGCACACCAGTGTGCCGTGAGACCTTGCCTGGTGTGCCGTGGGAGGGAGGCGGGAGAGGCGGGGCGGCGGCGGCATCTCCTGCTGGATGCAAATCCAAACATGGCGGGCGCCTCCCTCGCTCCTTTGTAGGCGGACCATCGAGAGAGAAAGAAAAGGAGGCGAAAGAGCGAGAGAAGGCGCCTGCGCGGAAAGAAGAGCGAGCAGTGCGCCTGCGCGCCGCGGCGCCTGAGATCGCTTCTCCCCACCGCCCCTTGCTTCAAAAGAGGTCCGGGGGCAGCGGGAAGCGCAGCGCTTCTTCCCCGCTGCCCCCGGACCTCTTTTGAAGCAAGGGGCTGCGGGGAGATCGCTTCTCCCGGTGCTCCGAAGCGGGGCGGGGGGGCGGGAACCTGCAGCGCGGAGCGCGGGGCGCCCTTTGGAGGACGCCCCGTGCTTCGCGCAGCTGTCCGCAAGCCTTGGGCGCCGGGCCTGGGGGAACTCCCCCCCCCGGCGCGCAAGGCTTGCGGGCGGCAGCCTGCAGCGCGGAGCGCGGGGCGCCCTTTGGAGGACGCCCCGTGCTTCGCGCAGCTGTCCGCAAGCCTTGGGCGCCTGGGGGAACTCCCCCCCCGGCGCGCAAGGCTTGCGGGCGGCAGCCTGCAGCGCGGAGCGCGGGGCGCCCTTTGGAGGACGCCCCGTGCTTCGCGCAGCTGTCCGCAAGCCTTGGGCGCCTGGGGGAACTCCCCCCCCGGCGCGCAAGGCTTGCGGGCGGCAGCCCGCAGCGCGGAGCGCGGGGCGTCCTTCGGAGGACGCCCCGTTCTTCGCGCAGCTGTCCGCAAGCCTTGCGCGCCCAGGGGAACTCCCCCCCCCCGCGTGCACGGCTTGCGGGCGGCAGCCAGCAGCGCGGAGCACGGGGCGCCCTCCGTAGGAGGCTGCGGAGGGTGGCGCGGAGCTGCCCGCGCTCCAGGGCTTCTTGCAGCTCCGCGCCACCCCCGGATCCCGGCGCGAAGCCGCGCGGGGCTGTGGAGGGTGGCACGGAGCTGCCTGCGATCCAGGGCTTCTTGCAGCTCCGCGCCACCCCCCGGATCCCGGCGCGAAGCCGCGCGGGTCTGCCTGCGCTCCAGGGCTTCTTGCAGCTCCGCGCCACCCCCCGGATCCCGGCGCGAAGCCGCGCGGGGCTGCGGAGGGTGGCACGGAGCTGCCTGCCTCCAGGGCTTCTTGCAGCTCCGCGCCACCCCCCGGATCCCGGCGCGAAGCCGCGCGGGGCTGCGGAGGGTGGCACGGAGCTGCCTGCGCTCCAGGGCTTCTTGCAGCTACGCGCCACCCCCCGGATCCCGGCGCGGGGCTGCGGAGGGTGGCGCGGAGCTGCTGGCGCTCCAGGGCTTCTTGCAGCTCCGCGCCACCCCCCGGATCCCAGCGCGAAGCCGCACGGGGCTCTGGAGGGTAGCGCAGAGCTGCCTGCATCCCGAAGCCTGGTGCGCGCTGAAGAGCGCCCCCGGGCTTCACGCACCTCTCCGCAAGCCTGGGGAGACCAGTGTGGCTCCCTAGGCTTGCGGATATCAGGCTGTTCTGGGGTCGGGGGAAGCTTGGGCTTCCCCCGCGCCTGCCCCGTGCCTGGGGAAGGGAAATTTTTTTTTTCCTTTATTCTCCCCCCAAAAAATTAGGTGCGTCTTATTGGGCGGTGCGTCCTATGGGGCGAAAAATACGGTAGTCAATATAGGCACAGAGTTAAATTTTTTAACATTTTCTAATGGTGGTGTGCCTCGAGATTTTTTTCATGAAACAAGTGTGCCTTTGCCCAAAAAAGGTTGGGAAACACTGATCTAGGGGATGTGGGTGATT